ATTTCTGCCAGGCTAAGTATGTGTGTTTGTATATAATATCTGCACACATGTGCACAGATGCTGCTAACCACACTCAAAATGCAGTTTCACACGATTCTAAACCAGACCTCTCTCTCCCTGTGCCCATAAGAAATCCATCCCATTCCTCAGTCTGCCTCCCTGTTGTTATCCCGATAGGCATTTCCAGAGTTGGTATACAGGGCTGCTCTCACTTACATAAGCTTCGTCCCAGCAGGTTGCTAAATGCACAGATCTGACCAGAATTCCTTGCTTGGAAAAAAAACAAAACAGTCGCTGACATTAAATGTGTCAGCTTTTTCAGAGTTGGCTGAGGAAAGATTGACACATTCACCACAGGCTTTAACTTCCCTCCTCTCCCTCTACCCCCTGCTACTAAGACTCAGAGGACCCTAGCTTTCTCTCAGTGGGGGTTTGCCATGCATTTGGAGTCTGTAAGTCTTTCCAGGAGCGCAATTTAGAGCTTCATCCATATGCAGAGCAGCCACAGGTAGGAAACTAAATGGCTAAGAATGTGGCATTTGGATGGGTTTAACAGCAGGGACATTACACTACAGTAAGATACAGATACACTGATTGGCCATTGTAGACAATGGTTGACTTACTGTATTGAGCTGACACAGGATGATTATTTGACACAGGGGAAATTATAAAAATTGCACTGCGATGCAAGTTATTGTTTGTTATCTTTATATCAGCTGTGTGAAGGTATTTCACACTGAAAGAAAGAAAATGCAAAAAGACTGAATGCAAGGTGTGTAATACATAGACCATATGGAGCTTAAAGGCCCATCTGTTGTCAGAAATGGTATATAATAGTTTACCATGTTCTTCTACAGCAGCCCACAACAGACAAACCAAACACTTGCTCTAGAGAGGACCATTTGTGCTCTTGCGTCGGCCACCATAGTTCCTCTATATGCTTGGCACACGAGAGAAGTTTCAGTTCTGAAACCTCACCTCTAGATGTCACTAAATCCCTCACATTGGACCTTTAAACACCACATACTCAAGCAGCATAATTCAAAAGAATGTTAAATAGATGCATGCACACATGCAACAACCTTCAAAGACAAAAGTGAGCCAACGTATCGCGCAAAAATGATTTCAGACTGAAACAAAATAATGTCGATAATCATGACAGTTGTGAAATTTATTGTGGTCCATGACTACCTCGTTTTTATGGCTGGAAACATGATGTTTTAATTCTTGAAAGAGCATATCTCATTTGCAACACATTTTATTTCCAAACTGGAAGTCCCATCTGAACACATCTGTACAAATTCCATTGCAAAAATTAGCCATGTTATAAATTGCAGAAGTTTTTTTTATCATTCATGGGATTTGGAAGCAGTTATTGGACAATTTATGCATCACGCTTTTAGATAACTTGAAGTGCTTATGAATAACTTATCTATTAATTGATAGCTATTAAAGAGGAAAGATTTGACCATATATATATCTCACTGTTATGTTACGGGTATTAAGCAATGTGTGAAACTAGAGTCAGTGTTCTCTGTTATATGATTAATATAATGCAGCTTGTCAATTATATACTTAATGTAGAGGTCTTGAGGGGGCTGGAGCCTATCCCAGCTGACACTGGGCGAGAAGCAGGGTACAACCTGGACAGGTCACCAGACTATCACAGGACTGACACATAGAGACAGACAACCATTCATACTCACATTCACACCTACGGACAATTTAGAGTCACCAATTAACCTGCATGTCTTTGGACTGTGGGAGGAAGCCGGAGTACCCAGAGAAAACCCACGCTGACACAGGGAGAACATGCAAACTCCTCACAGAAGGGCTCCCCCAACCTGGGTTCAAACCAGAAACCCTCTTGCTGTGAGGTGACAATGCTAACCACTGCACCACCGTGCCGCCTTAATGTTTAATTAAACAATAATGTTGAGCTGATCTTTGTTTTTGTTTTTTTATAAAATGTGGATTCTAAAAACATATGTACACACACAGCTAATATAATTATTATAATATACTGTGTTTTATGGTTACTATACTGTATGTTTTTAACAGTAGTAAATGTAGTACTGTTATTATAGCAGTTAATGTTATGTAAAGTAAGGTGACTGTGCATGTAGACTGGATCCATATAAAAAAAAAAATCCTCACTTCTAGGTAAGGTCAGTCATTCTGGAGAAAGACTGTTGGTGCTCAACACCCAAACAAATACTCCCCTCCCTTCACGTGCTAGATTCACCGTCCCTCTCGCTTCCACTGCCTTTCTCTTTATACATCCATGGCCTTTTCCCTGCACTCTGCATAAGCACGAACGCTTGTTTGGCTGGAATAATGTTGTGTGACTCGGTCTGAGCCGCATTGTTTGTTTCCCATTTACAGAGCCAGGGCTGCGTATGAACAACACCGGATTTTTATTTTCAGCGCACACACAGAATGGACAGCTAGCGGACCGTGAGGAGAAACTCGCTGACTGCACCTTAAAAGCTTAAACCAGAGGATTTTAAAAAACATATATATTCCGAAAGCTTCACTGGACGCCAACCCGTGAAGAGAACATTATCAGTGAGAAATATTCCATTGGTTTGCACTTCTGTTGGGGTGTACTTGTGCATTTCGCATGATTGTTTAAGTGCAGTGTGCAGTGGGGTGCTGCTGTGGCCTGTTTTAGCCCGTGCCCAGAGGAACAGGTGCAGATTATCCCGTCATAAGCTTTGCCAGATCCTTTCAGCAGCCCACCATTTCTACACCCACATGGAAAACCCAGGAGGAGAGGCTAATTTAAGATGCTGGGCAACAGCAATGGAAACACACATGGTATAAAACCAGGGAGAACCTAGATCATTAAACCAATAAAAGATACACCATCATCTACTCTTAAAGAGCTGTGAAAACAAAGGGAATAGCAACTGAGAAGGAAAAAAGATAACTAGGTCAAATGTTGTCAGAATTCTAAAACACACAGCCTTCAAACAATTTGAAGATGTGATATAAAATTGTAAAATGAATAAAACAATATTTCAAATATAGTTACATAATATAGGATCTGTTCAGCAAGGACGATTTATGGAAAAATAAATCCAACACAAGCAGCACAGGGGTTTGCTCCGTTAAATTATATTAGAGGTTAAAAGTGCACCGATGCTGGCTGCTACCTGGAAGTCGGCTCAAAGCAGAAAGAGAAAAGCCCAAATCTGTCTCACTAATGCTCAGGAATTTTCTGTACTATGGGGGAACATTTAATTTCCCTAGGTGTGATTTAAGAACTGGGGGTATTTATGCCCTGAGCTGGGTTTATGAGTCCAAAGATGAAGAGACGTAAAATCCACTCCAAATCCCCCCCCCCCAATCACCAATCCCAGGCAGGAAGAGATGACAACTGGTTTAAATCCTACAGATATTTGGGAATCTAATAAGGATTGTAAAAACGTATACATCCATCAGCGGTAGGGTGAATCCGAGCGTGTGCATGTATGTGCTCATGTACATGCCGAAGCAACGGCGAAATTGATGTTGTGTGTTTCTCTTTGAATGTGTGTGCATCAATTCACATCCCAGTGACAGCACGTTCAGGACGAGCCCAAACCCACACACTAGTGTCACAAACACACAGGGCCGTGTGAGAGATGTAGTGATTTGCAAAGTGGCGGTGCATTCCGCGGCAGCTACACAGCGCAGGGGCGGATCATGTCAAGATGCTGAGCAACACTCAGAGGATGAGCAGAACAGGAGGCTGCTGTTAAGGATGCCAGCAGTGTACAAGACTTAGGTTCCACTGACCTCCCCTTCCTGTGTGCAGAGGTTGAGACGAAATTGAGACTTAGCGTTGCTGCATAAATCCAAAGATTTAAACCAGACAGTTCAGTCCTTTACATTTGAATAGATAAATAAATAAATCTATGGTGGCCAAATCTCAAATAGCTCTCAATTAATTAGAAAAGATCACAAGCAAATCATCCTTGTAGTTTGCCCTTAAGACCATAATGCCACATGCATTAAATGCATCACAGGGGACACCCATAGTGATAATATATGACAATCTGGTTAGCGGAGGAAAAGAAGGGCATGTTTTCTCTTTCTTTTTCTGTAACTTGATGCTTAACATTTTGAGACGTTGCAGCACAAACACCACAAAGTGTCTGTGCACATCAACAATATGGGCTTTTAGCAAATAGAGAGGTGTCATCACACATTTGAGGATGTATTTGCCTATGGAGGTGCACATGACCGCTCAAGTGTGCAAGTGAGCATGGATGCAGGTGCATGACCCTAATACATGCATTTTTAAATTGTAATCATGTGTGCATTATTTGCTCAAGGCAAATATTTTCACACATTTACCACAATTAACCAACTCAGTATAAACTGGTGACACATACTGACTTCACGTTTTACTTTATGTGACAGAATGAAAATAATTGTCATGCCCTTCAGCAGAAGAAAGGACATAAATATGGATGGACAGGAGGGCAAATACCAGGGAGAGCACTACAAGACAAGGTCAGCTTGTAAGCTTAATCATATTCATCGTTAAAAGTGATTCCATCATTAATTTGTTCCTGTCTCCTTTGTCCATTTTTTTGCTTCTCCTTTAAGCGACCTACGAGGTCATATAAGCTTAACTGTCAATCCATTTACATGCAGAAAAAAAAAAATCCACATGAATTTACTGCAACAGCTTAATATCCTGCTGTGTGCGTGCGTGCATGCGTATGTGTGCATTCGTGCGTTCCGTGTTGCTGTGCTGGGGGCGTGTTCTGCCAGCCCTTCTGCCCACGGCTCATGCATAATATCATCAGAGCATGCCACGGCAACGGGCATCCTCCTGACTGTGTTCACTGTGTGTCGAAATGTTTTGAGTATTTGTGTATTTGACACACCGCAATCCAGAGCTAATTTTGGTCTTGTTCAACTCTTGCCAGAGCGACAAGAGGTAACGTGAATGTCAGTGTACATGTTTGCGCCCGCTATGATTTAAGAGGAGCAGCTGTCCACTGGGAGATGACACACCATCTCCACACAGTGGATTCAATAGGGGAGCAGAAATAAAACAAAAACAAGCAAGAGGACAGGGGATACTGAAACACAGGCAAAATAAACAGCATTAAGAAAAATACAAGAGACAGAAAGAGAGGCTGAGAGGCAGTGAGAGAGCTACACAGAGAGATATAGAGCGAGAGAGAGAAAGAGAGAGAGAGAGAGAGAGAGAGAGAGAGAGAAGCAGAGCTCCCTAACTCCATTGATTCCCAGACTGGCTGGCTGGCTGGCAGTAAGCTCTCTGTGCTCTGATCTGCCCGCTCTGATGGGGTTTCATGCCCGTGCAGGCAGTGCTGGGGATCCTGAGGGCAACACAGGTTTCTGCTGCTGATCTCGGCCTCTCTAATCCCTACCTATTGACCATATCAGCCTACACAGATGAGAGCCAGGACAGCTTATCTCAACCTACTACTGACTGCTAATGGGTCATCAACCAATGACAGCCACTAGAATCCAGAAAGGGAGCTAAAAGAAGATTGAACGCGAGCGGCCCAAGGACGACTGGCAGATATGAGAGGTAGGAGCTCCATCACTGTGGAGAAAATAACAACATGACTACGTGTGTGTGAATGTGTGTGTGTGTGTGTGTGTGTGTGTGTGTGTGTGTGTGTGTGTGAGCATGGCTAGGTGGGCTGCCATCAGCTGCTGAGTCTAGTATGTTGTGTAAACTGTTGTATAACTGAGTAGTAATGAAGCATGGAGTGCTCTTTGCTTGCACCACTTCCTGTATTAAAACAGTTACATGCGCACACGTCAACACTCCATTCACACTTTTACATTAACAGCTGCACATTAACATCTCCTCTGAGTGTTTCCCCATTGCAAGTTGGTTTTGACATTGCTACCAAGCTGATTTCAAGCAGTACTTGCTGTGTGTGTGTGTGTGTGTGTGTGTGTGTGTGTGTGTGTGTGTGTGTTGTGCGCGCATGTCATTACAAGCATCTCTGTGTGTACTTTGGGCTGGAGGGACACATCAGAGCAAAGAGCCATTCTCCTGTGTTGACCTCATTCCAGAGCTGCTGTTACAACGCCCCACTGAGCTGATGCTGTTTATGTGTGTCCATGCATTGTATGTATATGAGTTCGTTTATGAGTAGGTGCACACGTGTGTGAGCGCGTGTGATTAAATGCATCCTTGCATGCACACATAAACACTCTCACTTCACCAACAAGGATGCAATTAACACAGGGCTTTGCACTACAGTGCGCTAAATCTCAACCCAGCCGTGTTCTGATTGTTTTTGTTGATGCGAGCGCCACATAATATCATAACAGCAACACTGCCAAGAGCCACCGTACCAAACTAACACCTGAGATTAGACAGAGGAGCGCCTGCACCTGGGTATTTCTAAACCTGCAAACCACAGTTCACTGCAAGAAGTGCACGAGCCAGGCAGAGACAAAGCGATGATTACATGCTTGTAAATGAGACACTGTCACTTTAATTAGTACACAGTGTTACAATAATGTTTGTTCAAAGAAAAGGGAGCAGCAGGAGATAGGCTTTGTATTTTCCAAGTGGTACTGCTGCATAACTGCTGCATGCTAAATAGCAAACATGTGAGTTGCATGGTGTGACCACTGAATGTAAACATTCAGGTCGTACTGTCCTTTTCAAATCAACATCCCTCAATGGTTGTTTGATTATTACAGATCATAGTTGCACAGTGTTCCCTACTACCAATCTGCAAATAAGCTCCAGGTTGATATGAGACTTGCAGCTGCCTCATCACAAAGGCAGCATTTAGGAGAAGATTGTACTGGGAGATGTCGCCTGATGCAGAAAGAAAAAGATAATTCCCATTTGAGAAAACATTAAACAAACCCAATCAGGAGCACGGCTGCTGAAGAACATTATATGCATATGTACAGTAGATAAACACAGCGCAGTTATTCAGTCTGCTCAGGATATGTGAGAGTAACTTGTGAGCCAGCTACATTCCCAAGGCTTGGGTCGGAGCTACATTTCATTGAGCCTCGAGCTAGTCCAGCCAATGCTATAAATACGGCTGTAATGTTCCAGAAGGAATGGCCATGTGAAGTCATCTCAAAGGGAATCAGACACCCAATATCTGCTGTGTATGGATTTGTGTGTGGGTGGAGTGTGGGTGAGGGGTTATGAGTCTTTGATGAAGTCACCTAGGGCCGCTGTCTAAGGGAGGGTGGGAAGTGGGAGTTGGCATATTAGTAATAAGTTTACTTTCTTGTTTATTAGACAAAGAAGAGTGCTATCTGAGTGAGCTGCATTCTTTTCTACAGACTTCATTTCCAGATGCACTGATATGAATTTGAATGTCTCTTCACGATGGCAGTTGAGGACTGGTGTGAATGTATGCAGTTATGTAATAGCAGTCAAGGGCAATCGCTGAAAGAGATGGTTGCTGAAAGAGATGGTTGCTGAAAGAGTTCACATCTTTCGTCAACCTAGAAAATAAAATATTTTTCATACTTAGATGCAAATGCACGAGCACAGCATGTCTAATCTAATGTTATATCCCCCTGTCTCCACAGTGGTACTGCTGTGTGCCCTCCTCGCCCTCCTCTCTTCGTCACATGCCTGTCCAAAGGAGTGCAGCTGCAACAGCAACACCAAAGTAGTAGACTGCCGGGGTCGAGGCCTATACGACATCCCCCGACGACTGCATCCGGACACCCAAGAACTGTATCTCCAGGATAACCGTATCAGGGGGCTGGGATCGATGGCTTTCCGAGAAATACCACTCGTCCGCATTCTTGATCTATCTAATAACTCTATAACATCTGTTTCGCCGACTGCGCTGCTGGGTCTCAGGACTCTACAGCGCCTAAGCCTGGCCTACAACAGCCTGAGAGAGCTTGATAAGCGGTTGCTTGGACCTATCCGCTCCCTTTCGCACCTTGACCTCTCACACAACAGGTTAGGCAACAAAACTGTAACTGTTGTTTGTCCTTTGTCCAACAATACAAACTTGATCCCACATAACTCACTGTACCTGATCTTGTTTCCTTGCCGTGTCCCTTCTTGCAGCCTGTGGGGTTTGCCTGGAGCCATGGGGGACAGTTTGAGGAACCTCAGCCACCTCGGGCTAGCGCACAACAGGCTAACGCGACTGGACCGTTCCCTGTTGGAGGCTCTGACCCGCTTGGACAGCCTCACACTACGAGGCAACCCCTGGAGGTGTGACTGCCAGCTCATAGGCCTCAAACTCTGGCTGGAGTCCTACCTCTTCAAAGGTTAGACCACTTGTAGCTCCAGGCGGTAGCTGAGGGGAATGTCTGTAACATCTCCAACATCTATCTCAAAGCCTTTCCTGCTGGGCATCATAGTAAATTTTGGTAATAGCACACTATGAATGATACTGACCTTTAACATAAGCAAGTATCCGAGAACTACTAGAGCACAAATGGCTGGGCTCTATTTTGAAATGATGAGTTTACACAATAAGAGCAGAGCCTATTTTGGCACTTTAAATAGAAGGGCTGACTCCAAATGGCTATAATCAGTAGACAATTTGAGGAGGGATGAGAAGGGGACACCATTCCCCTTGTGCCAACCATGACCAAAGTGTGTCCTCCCTGTGAACCTCCAATCCTTCTCCATCCCTCGGGTCAAGACCCAGACATCATCCTATCCAGACCGAGATCTGTAAGCTATAAATCATTGAGAATTATGCGTTAAATCATCTCACAGGATGCTACTAAGCCAATCAAATCTGTGCATTCCTATACATTGCAACTTGAGCTAGTGAGATACACACACGGGGAGAGATGAGATAACTGAGTGTTTGACATGAAGGGATCAACACAGCGGGGTTTAGAAGAGGCTGGAAGGTCAGTACAGTTATCAAATATGGTGGAATGTGTGTGTCTCATATTGTTTGGCGTGTGTCTGTGGAAAGAATGCAGGTTGTTTTGGCTTTTATACTATTATTAATGAGTACTGTGTTTGGGGAAGTGACCACGTGCATGTCGGATCATGTTATGATGTCAGGCACTCTACGCAGCAGCTCCTATGACGATGGTGATGATCTCTACAGCCAGAGATAGAGAGTGTATCTGGGTGATTAAGAGTTAACTCAACTACATTATTTTCCATGCTAGACCAACCCCAGCATGCATTAGATAACAAAATAACCACTGTACAGCAAACGCTAGGCTCACTTGGAGTTGGCCAGTCCGCCTACATGCCTGTGTTACCCTGACACAGCGTTTGTCTTAGAGGCTGAATATTCTAATTACTGCAAAACAGAACAATGGACCCAGATACAAGGATGTATGCTTAACAGAAAGCCGGTGGTTAATCAGGCAGGCAGAAGGCAAGTGTGTGACATGAATACCGAGAGAGATAAATAATAAAGAGATTTAAGGGCCAAACAGAGGGCAGCACATGAAGTCCTAGCTCAATGCTGTCTCCAATGGACTCAACTGATTTGGCTCCAGTGATTGAGGTGTTAATCATATCACACTTGGTAATACAGCCCATAAAAGTAAGCCATTACACCCTACATAAATAAATATCACAAGTAAGGGGCTGGTTTAGGCTCAGCTATGATGATTATGATTGTGGCCTCCTCTCTTGTGAGCTGCCAAAAAGGAAATCGGCACTTATCACAAGTTAATGTGCTTATAATATACAACAACAGACTAATGTGTGTGTCCCTATCCCCTCGTGCCCCTCATTCTTTTACCAACCCTCTCTGATCTAACTGTGTAACTCTGATCCTAAGGTGGAGTGGTGGATGAGGTGCTTTGCTCCCAGCCGGAAGAAATGAGGGACAGAGACCTGCAGAAGGTCCCTTACCAGCTCTTCCACGCCTGCATGACCACAAGCTACCATTACCTGTTTGCAAACATACACCACCTGGAGTCTGAGAGGCTACTGCGAGGCCACACCCATGGCAACCATGCTCATCCTTCCAGCCACACTGTCCATGTCCCCATGGCAATGGGGGAGGGTTTCGGTGGAGGGGGAGGAGGAGGAGGAGCAGGAGCAGGAGGGGGTTTGCCAGAGTGTGAACCTAAGCAGAGGCAGCGGCCTGTCAACTTGCGCCACGCAATTGCCACAGTGATCATCACTGGCGTAGTGTGTGGGATCGTGTGTCTGATGATGCTGGCTGCAGCAGTGTACGGCTGCGCCTACGCCGCTATCATGGCCAAATATCAGCGGGAGCTTAAGAAGAACGAGGAGTTGGCAGCAGCGCAGGGGGCAGATCATGCCACAGCAGATGAGAAGGAACCACTGGAGAATGCTATCGCCTAGGACATGATGGCATGAACCCTGGACTTAAAAACCTGGGCCTCAACCCTTTAACCTAATCCTCTTTGGCTGCCATGTGTGTGTGTTAGTGCATGTGTGAGTAAGAAGGAGAGAGTGAGATTCTGTACGTGCGGGCGTGTGTGTATGTTCACCTCCTTTCTGAGACTTGGGTAGCTAAACTCCACAGGTATTTGACTATGCACTGATGAGAAGAGTATCTTCTGCTAAATGCGGGTCCGAGGGGCAGGCCAAAGAATCCAAAGGGAATCAATTCCATTTTGTCTGAGAAATGCATATCACAGATAGGAACAAATTGCTATATATTTATAATTGTGTATTTGTAGGTATAATAGTAAAGCTCTGGTATTTAAAAAAAAATGGATTTCAGACTTTGTTGTCTTTTGGTTGTTGTTCATCATTTTGAGTCTGATTTTGAGGCAATTTTGAAAACTCATAGTAGGCAGCTGCTGTCAGATAAGTTCTGTTCTAAGTTGTCTGTATCATTAACGTGAGAGTATGAGAAGAAGAATGAGAGCGTTTGTGTCAGTGTTTCATTTGTGTTGAGTGTGTGTGTGTGTGTGTGTGTGTGTGTGTGTGTGTGTGTGGAGATGTATACTGTATGCACATATTTATAGAGAATTTAAGAGTCTGTGCCTAATAATGTTATATAGTTTTGAGGAGATTTTTCTTAAAGGATATTTTTCTGAAGATGGGAAATTCGTTGAAGCAATAATGAAACAAACTAAAACGAAAACGACAACAAAACCCTGGACTCTGCCTTGTTGTTTTTCTATGACTTTACAGGTTCATGAATTTGAATTATTATCCTGCTGCACACGGTCACACACAAACTTTTAGATCTACAGTTTTAGAGATCAAATGAGTCTTGTTTGTGAGTTAATGCTGATCACATAATGGTAGTCGTGTCATTCAGTATGTATTATTTAAAATAAAGGGAAACATTATACCTGATTACTATATGTCTACTGGCAACTAATTTGAGAAGGCATGCATCCCTAAAGGTCCAGTGTGGAGGATTTAGGGCCATCTATAGCAGCAATGGAATATAATATCAACAACTGTTTTCATTAGCTTATAATCACCTGAAGATAGGAATTGTTGTGTTTTTAATTACCTCATAAGGAGCTGTTTATATCTACATACGGAGCTGTTCCTCTTCCACAGAGTTGGCCATGTTGTTTCTACAGTAGCCCAGAGCAGACAAACCAAACACTGGCCCTGGATAGTGCCATTTATGTTTTCGTATCAGCAACAGTAGTTCTCCTACACACTTGGCACACAAGGGAAGTTACAGTAAGTTGCAATCTGCAACCTCACCAGTAGATGCTACTAAATCCTACACAGTGGACCTTTAACTGGAGACAGTATCTTTAAAAGAGGGGAATTTTGAAAAAGAAAAAAAAACATGTCCACTTCTTTTCTCACTGACTTTCTAAAACTAAAACGAATAAAATGATAATTCAATTTAATCAATCAAGTACCATTTTCTGTAGCCATGTAAGCTTTGGTGAAAAGACATTATCACACTAAATTCCCCAAAAAGCAGGAAAATACCCCTCATTTAAAGTGTTACCATGGTAATCTTGAAATTAGTAGGCATTGCATGGGTGTCTACCCCTTTCCGTTTCGTGTGTTGCCGGCACAGTGACCTTTTTCTTTTAGCTTTTTGGTTGATGAAGTTTCTGTTGCATTATTTTGTCAAATAATCTGACAAGAGAAAATGGTGAAACACATTATTTCTATGAAAATATTGTGGATTATACTTGATAGAATTTTAATGAGTTGCTGCTTATGAGAAATAAATTTTATAATATGTATGTTCGGATATTGCCCATATAGGGATGTGTATCATTAAAAATAATTACAATGCAAGTACCAATGCCAGTGCCCTTAAAGTGATAGTGATACCAATACAGCACTTCATTTGATACTTTGTTTTAACTGCCAACTCTGTCAAATACAACATGCTAGACTCTGTGGGCCAATCCATGTAGCCGTGTACTGGCAGCCAGGGAATGACTGTGTACAACGGCGCTTTGTCTTGTTAAACAATCACCAATAAATGCTTCTAAACATAACCAGACATGTTCCAACAGGAATGTGATCTGAAATTGGTGAAACATTAACAACATTAGCAACAAAGTTTACATGTTTCCCAGAGGTTAGCGTTTAGCTACATGTAGCAGTGTGAGCTACATCATGTAAACACTTGCAGTGGCATATAATGAAACCTGTCACTAGCTGACAGTTGGAAATAGAGTATTCACGCCGGTCTGAAGCCTGAGGTTTTTGCTCACGAGGTTACTTTTACCATATATGAAAGAAAACAAGTTAAATCACCATAAGTCTCCTTTAATTATGTGTCAAGACTGCATAGGTGTGTGTACTTACATGCGTGTGTACTTATATGCGCCAATTTTTACTTATAAGTAATGACACAAAATTCTTCCAGTGTCTTGACATAAGAGCAGATGACTCTGAAGTATTAGAAGTAATTATCTGATTTACTCTGAATCACCAACTTTATCATTACTGGGTTAAATCGACGAGCGTGTGCAGTGATCGGCTGTGAGCTAAACCATACAAATATGTTTTTTTTCTAGATGTGGGTACAAAAAGGATCAGCACTTAAGTCAAATGTGTATGTCTTGAAATGTACTATACAACTGACTGGACTTATATGCAGGTATGGGTTGACTGAAGAAGCTTCGATACTACTTGGTAGGTCGATATCTTAAAGGCGCTGTATGTAAGAATGTGGCCAAAACGGTTACTGCACTCAAATTCAAAATACTGCCATGAGTCGTGTCCGCCCCCCCTCCCCTACAGATTCGAGGTTGCTGGACAGCGGCACACTGGAGACTGATTTGTTTGCCCACGGGCGGCTGCCGTGGCAGGGCCGCGTCCTTGATCTTCGGTTTTCCAGCGGACCGTTCCAGCAAGTCCGGCTTCTCTGCTGCTAACGCTGCTGCTTGGATACAGCTGAGGAGGAGCCGGCTGCTATTGCTATGTACTGGGACACTGCTAATGCTGCTTGCCGTGCTGCTGTAGCTCAGTCATAACTGTAACTGGTGCTGAGACTCTACTGACTGCGTGACTGGTAGACGGGGGTGGGTGGCGCAACAGGCCAAAACACAAATTCAAAACATAATTTGCGGACTGTAAAAAAATTTTTTTAAATGCGAATATTCTGGCTGTACTATTGCTGTCGGTGAGATCAGTATGTTATATGAACATTATTCCTTAGTCTCTGTGACATAATAGGAGGATTTTTCAACTATTTGCTTTAGATTTCTTACATATAGCTCCTTTAATGGTACGCTATGCAGGATTGTCAGTTGCTATTTGTGTACATGCTCATTAGCGAAAATGAAAGTAATGCTCTCCTTTTTTTGTAGGAAAATCCTGCATAATGTCTCTTTAAAGGTATTGAGCACTGATTCCCAGCCCTGTGCACAGCCTTCTTTTTAATTTTTACTGGAGTTCACTGGTACTATTACATGGGAATTCTAAAGTATTATGTAATGCAATCTGATTCCTGTCTCTTGATTATTTTAATATTTGTAAAATGTCACAGAGAGGCTATTTGGGCAATGTTATTAGATTAATGCAGCTTGCTGTGTACATCACAAAAATCTATTATTATTATCTATATATATCCACATATTGATAATTTGCCATCAGCTGTTGATTTTTAATCTACTCAGTGTCGTATGGAAGCACATGAATGTACACAGATGCCTTTGGTCTTAACGCCTGACCTGAGTTTTGTGGCTCTGTATATTACGGCATCAGACTCCCTGCACGTGGCTCAGGATGTGACCACAAACACTGACACACACACACACACACACACACGCTGAAATACACACGCGTGTATGTACGAACACAGTAACATTGTGACTCAAGCGATGTCTGCAGGGCCCGTGGTGTGTGATGTCATCAGCCTGTCCTGTTCAGTTAGTGTATTAGCGTATTCACAAGTCTACAGCTCAGTGGAGCGCAGGGCAGTGAAAACTGGCCCTAACCAGCCCACGCTAAATTTGCATTCTAGCCTACATCTCTCCTCCCATCTGACTCTCTTATATAAAATCATCGTTACAGACATCCCCCGATCTGACAAGCATGATTGTCATTACTGTACATCAGCACCCGATGTATTAACAGGGTATTCATGAAACCCTGTTACTGATCAGTCATTTGGATTGCTGCTTAACAGGATTGGAGAGAATGATATTATCTTAAAACAATAGTGATCGAGTCAACAGTGTCAAATACTACCGTGGGCTGGTGTAAACTGTGGACTGCTTGTGTACCGCTCTGCTTGAAATCTGAAGTATGCTCTATGTGTGTGTGTGTGTGTGTGTGTGTGTGTGTGTCTATGTGTGCGCACGTGCTGTGGCACCACACAGACTCTCCCATCTCTGTCCTTCTGCTCCAGTGGTTTCCCCCAGGCCAAGAGTACCCACAATGCACTGCTTTCATGTCAACGCATTCAGGCACCGTGAAATAATTTTCTCTTTCTCTGCCCTTTTATTTCTTCTCTTATTTTATCACTGCGTTTCCAAAAGATTTTCCTCTTTCTCCTTTTCTTCAGTTTTTTTTTCTTTCCGCTGTCTGGATATTTTTCTGTGATTCCCCTACTGGCATCACTGGCCCTCGTCTGTCGACAGGAGAACTTACATAGATAATCATCAGAAGGGGCTTTTAATGTGAGGCAAAAGCTGTGCTCCAAATTGGTCCTTGGGGCATAAATTGGGCGGTGGAAAGGACTGCAGTCCTCCAAATACTGTACACTGTATTTGAACAGAACAACTTGCCCGTTCAAGACATTTGTACTGTGTGGTACAGCGGGGAAAACAGGACTTCCAACTGGTCTGCAGAGGATAAACATAATGAAAGTTGGAGTCTCCTCACTACAAGCATAGCTGCCTGAGGAACAGCATTGAGCCAGAAAATCATTGGGTGCTTTTACATGGACTCTAATATTCCACTAAAAATCAAAATAATAGCCCAATTTCAATAAGAATGCCTCATGTAAGCACCTCAATCAGAGGAGACTGGCCTGATCGAGAGGAATTTTCAATGGGGTTGAAGGGGGCGGTGCAAACCTTCAAAAAAATCAGCAAATCCATTCAACAGGAAAATATTAGCGCTAAATAACCATGTAAACGCTTAATAAAACTGTTTCTCTCTGTATGGAATAAATATTTTTTTCTGCACAATTGCCCCACTTAGAGGTAACATTAGGCGATGCAGTGCGCCGCACATGTTGCTACAGCTGTTTCTTCACTCCTCCACTTGCTGATTTTGACAAATAAGATAAGATGAGATAAGATTAGCCCTTATTGTCTCCCTTAGGAGACCGCCGCCTGTGTTCTCATTCAAGAGAACACAGGTGGCGCAATAGTTCATAAATTCAAAAAAATATTTAGCGCTCTGCTAGTGCTACATTCTGTTTTGAGTGCTCTTTGATTTTAAAACAGTAGCCTTAAGGAACGTTGTTACAGCAGCAATGTGGAGCTGCTGGACATAACAATCATCAAATATTTAAAGTAGCAGTTGGCTTTATATGAGACACAGGGAACACGGGCAAATTGTAATGTCTAGCCATATTCTACGTGTGAGGTGTTTAGGGGACATCTGTAATTTGTAGCGACACAAAATAACCTGGGTTAACCACACATCACTTACTACTAAATTGCATTAACAGGCAGAGCCCCTTCTTCTCCTTCATACATTATGTATTGAATAGATTGAATTTTCTCAATAAAGTTGGAAAAAAACGTATTTTTCTGTTATATTTCTGACAGATGAGGCACTTCACAGCGAGCAGAACCACTTTGTGCAAGTATGCAAAAAATATTCTGATTAAATGCTTTGGTGCACATAAATGCACTTCTTCTCAGATCACAAAGAGTTCAGTTGGAATCTCTACTCACAACGATTACAATCAGATTGAAGAAATACTGTCCATGAACTGCAGCTACTGTCTACCTTTCTGCATATTTTAGCCGATTCAAATG